AGACAGCTGTAAGAACATCACCACCCTGAAATGTCTGAGGAACATTCATGCCAATACAAATGGCTTTGGCTAAGTCAAGGATATGGCGATTCTTTCTCTCAGAGCGGCCATTTTGTTGAGGAGTTTTTACATTAGACATTTGATGCTTAATCCCAAAATCTGTACATAGTCGTTGAACTTCCCAATAAGTGTATTATGTACCCTGATCAAATTTGAATTTTTTAATGGTACGATCATACTGAGTTTGAACCATTGTCACAAAATTTTTATAAATAGTATAAACCTCATTCTTGGTCTTCATGAGATAGATCCAAGTAACATGACTATGGTCATCAGTAAGCAACACAAAGTATCGAAAACCAAGACTAGTAGTACCTGGACAAGGCCCCCAAACATCTGAACGAACAAGATCAAAAACTGCAGAAGCAGTTTTATTACTACTAGCAGGATAGTGAGAACGCACATGTTTAGCTAGTTGACATGTTTCACACGATAATTCTGGGACTTCCACATTACTAAATATAGAAGGAAACAAGTGTTTTAAATACCTGAAAGAAATATGTCCTAAACGCAAGTGCCAACGCATAATCTCGGCTTTATGAGATGGAATGGATACTAAATGTGCTTGTGGGGACAAAGGAGTATCCAATAGGTATAGGCCATCAACTTCACACCCACTGCCAATCGTCTGTTTCGACTCCAGATCCTGAAAAACATAGTGAGAGGGAAAGAACGTTACACTACAATTTAATTGTTTAGTAATGCTACTAACAAAAACAAGATTAGTAGTGAGTTTGGGAACATGAAGTGTATTTGATAAAGTTAAAGAAGAAGCAACAGGTATGTGACCCTTTCCAGCAATAGAAGAAAGAGAGCCATCCGCAAGATGTACTTTGCGATGGCCAGAGCAGTAACTATAAGAGGTGAAGGAGGAGGACATACCTGTCATATTGTCTAAAGCACCAGAATCAATGATCCATGGTGTTGAAGTGGTAGATATGCTATGTGCAGATGCAATAGTACCCGAGTGTACATAAGTGGAGGTAGGATGGGATGATGCCTCTATCTAACTCAAGAAATGTTTGAACTTATCCAAATCACCTTGAGTCAAGGTAACTATAGCAGAGGATGAAGACACAGGGGTGTTAGAAAGTGACACCGAGTTTGGCTGTGAAACAACATCGGATAACATATAGGAATACGCATCGTCCAAAGCGGAGAAAGAAGACATGCCTAACAAATGAACACGTGTATACTCAAACTTGTCGTTCAATCCTGTAAGAAACTGGAACACCCGATTCTTCTCTACAATTCTCGTATATAAAGTTGCATCATCTGGATCTTTCCAAGTATGGAAAGAATCATAATATGACATCTCCTCCCAAATAACACAAAGCCTAGCGATGTAACCGGAGACTATTGAGTCACCTTGAATCCACTAGGTGATATCTCTTCCCAATTAGAAAATTCTTGCATTATTCTGCCTCTGAGAATAAGTGCTTTCTACCGAGTCCCAAATTTGTTTAGCGGTCTTCATAAACATATAGCCAATAGCTATGTTTGGCTGCATCGAATGAACTAGCCAAGACATAGTCATGGCGTTATTGGTAAACCATTGTGGATATGCTTTATCTGTCATTGCTGGCTCCTTCTCAGAACCAGTAATATATCCAATCTTACCTTTGCCACCAATGAACATCCCGGCAGATTGTGCCCAAATTAAATAGTTGGAGCCATCCAACTTCACTATAGTGATTTAAAATTCTGGATTTTCTGACGTGTTGGTGTGAGAAATGGCACCACCACCCACATAGGTTGGTTGAGTCATCTGAAATAACAGTAGATGATTCGGAATCTGCCATTCTCTATCACAAGCTAAGAAACAACTTTTAAAAAACCACCACAAACAGTTGTTCATTAGTTAAAAAAAAATTGTCTCCTCGGACTATTCAAAAAACTAGAATATTGTTCGGAGCGCTGGCCATTTACATAAAGTTGGACAACCTCCTCCTCACTATTTTGAACCTCTCTTTAGGTTATATGAATTTAACCAAGTCCTCCTAGGTGTTGGAAACCAACAGTATCAAATTACCCATTCCTAGTAAAAAAAAAAACTTATAAAACTAAGAAGTACCTGCCTTTGTTACAAAAAAAAAAAAAAGCAGCTATGGAACCATATGTAGACAACTTCACAATCTACTGACAAACAACCTAGAATGGTTTGTTTCAGAATCTGTTGCTAACAACCTATAATGGCTCTGATACCAAGTAGAATTATATGATAGAATTGGAGAAATATAAGATAAGAGAGATTCAAGAGAAATATGTAATTGCTGTGTTATATCACTCATCCATAGCTCTAGTATTTATACTAAAAGAGCACATGTGAATCTTACAATAAAGGAAACAGAAATATGATTAACTTAATACAAAAGCCGTGAATCAAGGCATGATAAAGGGGACACAAAGTGGGCAGACCACTCAGTCAAGGGAGCAGCTTCCATCAATGTCCATGATTCAAGGTTCCTGATTATAGGTCCATGATTCAAGGTCCATTGGCAGATATTGGTCGGTATCAGCGACTTGTTGGGAAGCTCAGCTACCTATCCATAACTTGACCTGACATTGCTTATGTTGTGGGTGTTGTAAGTCAATTTATGCACTCTTCCCGCTCCCCTCACCTTGATGCAGCTATTTGGATCCTTCGCTACTTGAAGGGGTGTCCAGGTCGTGGTATTTTGTATGCTAACCATGGCCACTTACGTATTGAAGCCTGTACAGATGCTAATTGTGCGGGATCAATTTCAGATAGGAGGTCTACTTCACTACTGTTGGTGGCAACTTAGTTACTTGGCGTAGTAAGAAACAGGATGTTGGCTCGCGATCGAGCGCGAAGGCAGAGTATAGAACTATGGCTGTTGGAGCGTGTGAATTAATATGGTTATAAACGTTGATGACAGACTTGTGTATTCCATTGTCACTTCCTTTTTTACTTTACTGTGACAAGAAGTCTACCATTAGCATTGCAGCAAATACTATCCAGTATGACATGACTAAGCATATAGAGGTTGATCGACATTTCATTCGAGAGAAAATCAACTTTGGTCAAATTTGCATTCCATTTGTCACTACCATTCAACAACTTGCCGACATTCTTACTAAGAGTGTCAACAAGATTGTGTTTGATGATGCATTGTCTAAGTTGGGCGTCTGAGTTATCCACGCACCAACTTGAGGGGGAGTGTGAGCTGATATATATGTGTCCCCTCAATCATACCTTGAATCATGGAGGCTGCTCCCTTAACTGAGTGGTTTGCCCAGTTTGTGTGCCCTTTATCATGCCTTGATTCATGGCTTTTGTATTAAGTTAATTAATTTTCTGTTTTCTTTATTGTAAGATTCACATTTGCTCTTCTAGTATAAATACTAGAGCTATGGATTAGTTATATAGCACAGCAATTACATATTTCTCTAGAATCTCTCTTATCTTATATTTCTCCCATTCTATCATATAATTCTACTGTTACAGTATCTTGCTTGAAGAAGATCAATGATTTATGTTGTCAATTGAAGTGAACTTGGAAGCTGCAACATTTTGTATATCTTGGGATCATTTTTTTCTTCTTGTTTGTCTTCAGCAATTCGAAATTGAATTTGATTGATGAAGACAGTATAGAATGCTAGTACTGGGAGGAGATTTTTTTTTTCCTTTCCAGAAAAACTTGTAAATATGGCTTTAAGCGAAAGTTCTCATTGTGGAGAGTCTGTTGGTTTCTACCAAGTTGGTGTTTTTGTTTATTAAGTGAGCTTCGGAGGATTTTGATGGTGGATTGTTGAGTAGCCGGGCCATTTCTGGCATGTATTTTGTGAAAGATGACCCACTAAGCAGTTGATCATCCTTAGCTCATTGTCTGTTTGTGTCTCCCTTTGGTACTTTTGGTCTTCGGTGGGTATTGCTCGCACTTACCCACCACAGTTAGGGAAGTTCCCCTTTGCAACTGTTCCAGGCTTGGAGTTGAAAGAGTCATGGTGGACCCAGAGCTCTTCTTTTGCTGATCCGGGAAGAGAAGGATCTGGTGAATATTCAACAATTTGAAATTAATGGAGAAATGGTGAAGGATATTACTTCTTGCATAGCATCTTGATGCATTTGTGGATCTGCAGGGGTTGCAGCCCAATTCTTTTAGGCCTGCTCTTTATCTAATTCCTTTACCCCAACACGTAGACCTTGATTCTAGCGACTAATTTAACTATCTTGTATAAAAGATGTGTTCTATTTATGTTAAAGTTGTTGATGGGTGAAGTTCATTGTTATTTTATATATGTTTTACATTAAGCTTCACATGTGATATAATGAAAGATGTTTAAGGACCAATGTTACGTAAATATCTTATCATGTCTCGATGTTTCTTCATATATGGATAAATCAAATATGCCCTTGGATATTTAATTACTTGTTTTTGTGAGAATCATTTGAAGTGCAAGCACTAAGGATAGCTATGTGGCTTGTAGTACTATGAAGTGGTTCCAAGCTTTGAGACAACTGAAGTAGATTGGTACATAAATGGGCTTAAAGCTTTCTACTTCTATTTTTGTCCTTGGGTTTAGGACTTGATATTGTCCTTGGTTTTTCCTTGAATGGGAAATGGATGTTTGATATTCCTCTATTTCACGGAAGTGAAAGCACACGATTTGCTCATACTCCATGCTAGGAGTTTAAACAGTCGCATTGATAACTTGAAGATATTCAGTGGTAGTTGTAGTTTTCACTCACCTGTTCAAACTATTCCTTAATTCTGTAATCACAATCTTGTAAGTCCTCGTATGGGTAGATTTGGTCTACGTGTTGTTCTTTTAAAAATGATTTTATCTAGTTTTTGATGGTGCATCAATGCTGAACGTATTCTCTGTTTATACAATTACTTATATGTTTATAAAAGCGAAGCGTCGTGAATTTAATGCTATGTTTGTTTTGATCCATTATCTCTTACATTTTACAGTCAACAAAGGATGTTTGCAGTTCAAGTATTCGAATTACATAGATTAATAAAGGTAAGGTGGCTTTGAGGTCAAGTAGCTTCTACTGACATTGAATTGTGATGCATTATTGTATTTAAATTTACCTTTTGTTTTATTTGAGAGCAGATTAAACTTAATTTTTTGATATTTAAACAGGTCCAAAGAATAATTGCTGGATCACCACATCTTTTGATTGAAGATAATGCTTATTTGGGCAACACTTTAAAGAGCTTTCCTTCAAAGAAACTACCATTGGATTATATTGTGAAACCACTTCCACATGTTGTCAAAGATGATTCCAAGAAGCAAAATCATAAGATGGAATGTTCTGCTGAAAATGCGATTGAGAGGGCATCTCTATCTTCTGTTCAAAATGGCACTCAGCCTTCAGTTTACAAACCATTGCCGGGAAACCCACCTCCAAAACCTGCAACTACCGACCCTAAAATGGGTCCTTGGTCTTTCCACCAACCGTCAGGCAATCAATGGTTGATTCCTGTGATGTCTCCTTCTGAAGGTCTAATATACAAGCCGTATCCTGGACCTGCATTCATGGGCCCTGTTTGTGGAGGATGTGGACCTCCCGGATCAGCTCCTGTCACGGGTGATTTCTTTAATCAAGCGTATGGGGTTCCAGCTTCACATCATCAGTATCAAGGAATGGGATTTTCTTCTGTTGGTCATGGCTATTTCCCTCCATACGGTATGCCTGTCAAGAACCCAACCATCTCAGACTCGGCTGTTGAACAAATGAACCACTTTACAAGACCACTTTCACTTGGTCATTGTGGTCAGTCGTCGGGAGGAGGAGCGAACTATAACATGCAACATGAAAGCTCATGTAACGTGCCAAGCCCAAGGAATGGAGCTTTCTCAAATGTTATGAAGTTGCATGCATCTAAAGAGTGGGATTTACGAGGCAGCACAGCGAGTAGTCCTATTGAGAGACCAGAAGGAATTGGGGCAGCAGGTCAAACAACAGTAGGAAGAAATGTGCTTCCTCTTTTTCCTACGTCTCCAGATGTTCACCTACCCGAAGAAGCATCTCAGCGCCACGACACTGACCAGTCAACACGAGTTATCAGAGTTGTGCCTCACAATGCTAGATCTGCAACTGATTCGGTTGCTCGAATTTTCCAGCGTATACAAGAAGAGAAAAGAGCATGACTGGTTAGTCATGTTTTGAGAGACAAATCACTAGCTAGTAGATGTGCTCATCCAAATCAGTATGTTTGGTTGTTTTTTTGTACTTTTGTTTCTTGATATAGTGTTCTGTAACTGGTTTTATCTGATATCGGTTTTTCATATGTAATATATATACACATATGTATTTATATATGTATGTTTGTATATTTTAGATCAATGTTATACTATTGTCTTCTTCAATTCTTGTTCTTTCAGGAAATGATTTTCGAAGGGATGAGTTTGCCCAGATAACCTACCAATTGAACTCTAATAGATGCTTTTTTTTTATTTATTTATTATTTATTATTATTATTTTCTCGATAAGGAGGATTAATGTATGGTCCCTTACCTCTTACCTCAAAATGTTTTTTGGCTCGAGACAGGAACTGAGATAAAAGGAAAATGTATGAAAAATATGGTCTGTATTAAGAAAGCACATCATGATATAGTTTGTAGAAGAAAAAAGAGTATGATTGAGGAGGCCCGAAGTGACATGGGCCGGATATGACCTGCAAACGCGACATCCGGTCCGTACAGATGGGTCAGGCCCATAGAAAGACACTGCCATATGGGCCGAACGCGAATAGCCCATCTAAGATGACCAAAACTCATAGAGGAACGGGCCTAGATCTAGCAGTCCATCAATATTTGTAAGTATCTATAAATAGGAGAAGTGATGGATAAAGGAGGTGAGATATTTTTTTTTTTGGTTGAAATGTAAGAATTCTAGAGAGAGAAAGAAAGGAGGAATTTCTTGCATCTTCAATTGGCGCCGTCTGTGGGAAGCGTTGAAGATTGATTGATCATTGATCAATATCGCGTGGATTCAGACCAATTCGTGGGAACAAAACTCGATCTTTGGGAGTTGGATCCAGATCTGAGCGATTGTGACCTACTCTGGAGGAATTTTGGATCCAGATCTACGCAACAACGAGTTGTTCGATTGTGGCAGGATCTGACGGATTTAGAATTCGGACAATTCAGATCTCGTCAACCGTGAGCATGATTCGGAGAATTCGAAACCAGATCTGAAAAATTCCCACTCACGAAGCTCAGATCTACTCACGAACTTGAGATTAATGCCTTTACTCCGTTCAGGAATAATGATAGGTGAAAGCTCCAATCCGATGGAGGCTGTCCAGCAAACGAAGCTTGAGGAGTTGATGAACTTGATCGAGGCTCTCAAAAAAGAGAATGCAGAATTGAAAGCTGGAATGCAACATCAGCAAATACCTGCGGTTTCGCGTCCACTTCCGGCCGGTGAAGGAGGTGTTCAATTTAATATCGCGCATCAAGGCGAGCAGGACGAGAACAATCAGTCAGCTCTCCACCGTGATGAAAGGAGGATGGATGATTTGCCGCCAAATGCTCGTCGAGTTGAGGATCACGAAGGATCGACTCACGTTGATCCGCGACATGAGCAGATCAGACAGAACGAAGCCATGACCTTCGATCCGCATCGGGAAAGGTTCAACCGAGAGGAAGTGATAGAGGTTGATCGCCGCCAAGTTGTGTCGCCTTGGCAAAGAGAGCTCATAGAGGAACGGTCGTTCGATCCGTCTTACCGGCCCTCCATGGCTACAATCACTCATCGCGGTTCGGAGAGCAGAACCGTAGCTCACAGAGCTACCACTGGGCGCCAAAGAGAGAATGAAGCACTCCGATCCGCGGCTCGGACGGTTGATTCACCATTCACTGACGAGATCCTGAATGCCCCGCATCCAAGGAAGTTTGCTATGCCAGTCTTTATTCTGTTTGATGGAACAACCGATCCGATCGATCATGTGTACCATATCCAGTTGAAGATGGCCCTGAATACGGAAAACGACGCTTTAATGTGCAAATGTTTCCCTACAAGCCTAGCTGGACCGGCGCTCAGCTGGTTCAAGAACTTGCCTAGGAGCTCCATTGGTAGCTTCCGAAACCTGTGCGATCGGTTCATAAGCCAGTACTATGGGAACAAGCGTCCGCCGAAGGACATCTCGAGCCTATTCATAATGAGACAGCATAAAGATGAACGTCTCCAGGCTTTTCTCACCAGGTTTAATCTCACTAAGAGTATGGTGATCGAATGCCACCTTTCTACAGCGGTTCAAGCCTTCAAATTAGCCATGACACGTGGCACTCCGTTCCATACCAGTCTGGTAGTGAACACGCCGACGACTATGGATGAACTCAATGAAAGAGCCGATGGCTTTGTGCGCCTAGAAGAAGAGGAGGCAGCCAATGCTCGGACAGCGTCGCTCGTGTCGACCGAGGAAAAGTCCAAGGCAAAGATCAGGCAGAAGCAGGCTCAGCCGCAACGTCAGACCTCCTGGAAGGCAGAAAAGAGGTCCGGGGAGGAAGAGCTGATCACTCCGCTGAAGGTCACTCTGGCGAGGCTATATCAGGAGAACAAAGATAAGTTTCATCCACCACTGCCATTTAGGCAACCCCTCGAACAGAGGGATCAGACTAAACATGATTTCCATTCCGATTTCGGTCATCAGACTAACGAATGCAGGAATTTGAGAAGGCAAGTGGAGATGTTGATAGCTAGAGGGGAGTTCGAGAGTTATGTTCAAGGCTCGGCGACAAAGCAGAATCGACCGATGGAACAAAAAAAAAGAAGTCATAAACAAAGCTCCCACAATTCACAACCAGTTCGTATAATCAATGTTATCCACGGTCGACCCGAGCCCAGCGAAGATTCAGATGAGCTACTCCGAGCACGCCTACGGCAGGCGCAGATGAAGAAAAGGGTCAGCAGTGTGAATATTCTACACCAGCAGATCACATCGATACAGATAAAGTTCGACAGGACAGACCTGCAGCGTGTTCAAGTCCCCCATGAAGACCCGTTGGTAGTCAGTTTGACAGTGGCGGACTGCCTGGTGCGCAGAGTTCTGATCGATCAGTGCGAATGTCATGCCGAGGGACACATTTGATCGGCTTGAGATTAAACCAGAGAGGCTCAAGCCCACTGGAAATCCCCTGTTAGGATTCGATGGCAAGAGGGTGGAGCCCGTCGGAATGGTGGAAGTAGAAGTTCAAGCCGCAGAATGAGCTCTTATGGAAACTTTTGTGGTTGTGGAGATTCACCCCTCGTACAATCTCCTGATGGGAAGAGGATGGATTCACAAAGTCCAAGGTGTACCCTCAACTCTGCATCAAGTCATGAGGTGCCTCGGACCCGATGGAAATAAGGTGATAGACATTCGTAGGGATCAGGTTGCAGCCAAAGAGTGTTATTCCGTCACACTAAAGTATGCTGGGAAAGGGAAGGCGCCCGTCCGATCGGCGAGCCCCAGATAGCAATTACAGGAACCTCCGCCCAAGCAGAACAGAGTGGAGGAGTCAGTTGACTTGACCGAAGAGCCCCTTCTGGATGTGCAGATTAATCAGTCCAGGCCAGAGCGAACTACCAGAGTAGGAGTAAGACTGACCAGGGAAGAGCAGCAAGAGCTAGTTGACTTCTTGTCTCACAATGCCGATGTATTTGCATGGAGTCACCTAGACATGCCTGGAATTAATCCCTCCGTATCCTGTCATTCCTTGAATGTCAATCCCAATTTCAAACCAGTAAAACAGAAGCAACGAAGATTTGCTCCAGAACGCAACCAAATCATAGCCGAGGAAGTTGATAGGCTGCTTGATGCGGGATTCATCAGAGAAGTACACTACCCTGATTGGTTGTCCAACGTCGTTGTCGTGCAGAAGAAGAATGGAAAATGGCGAGTATGCATTGATTTCACCAATTTGAACAAAGCCTGTCCGAAGGATAGCTTCCCGCTGCCAAAGATTGATCAAATGGTGGATGCCACCACCGGGTATGAGCGTTTAACCTTTCTGGACGCTTATTCAGGTTATAATCAGATCCCTATGGACCCGGCAGATGAAGAAAAAACTTCTTTTGTAACCGAGCGAGGGACATACTGCTACAAAGTTATGCCTTTCGGACTAAAGAACGCGGGAGCAACTTATCAAAGACTTGTTAGCAAAATTTTCAAGGATCAAATAAGAAAGATTGTGGAAGCCTATATTGATGATATGGTGGTAAAGAGTATGAAGAAGCATGATCATCTGAAACATCTGCAAGATGTATTTGATGTGCTGAGGCGATATGGGATGAGGCTCAATCCAACCAAGTGCTCGTTCGGTGTGAGTTCCGGTCAGTTTTTGGGACACGTGGTCAACCGCAGAGGCATCGAAGTTAGCCCCGCTCAAGCAGAGGCTTTGATTAAGAATGCCGAGCCAAAGACGATCAGAGAGGTGCAAGCCCTCACAGGACGAATAGTTGCATTAAGTCGATTCATTTCTAAGTTGTCAGATCGCTGCAAGCCGTTCTTTGACACGATTCGGAGTCATGGAAGACAGGTCTGGGGAGATGAGCAATGATAAGCATTGACCCGTTTGAAGGAATATATGCAGAATCCACCAGTCCTGTCAGCCCCGGATCCAGAAGAAAAGTTATTTCTATATCTTGGAGTATCTAGTGTTGCGACAAGTGCCGTTCTGATTCGTTGCAAGGAAGGGGTGCAACACCCGGTATTTTATGTCAGTAAAACAATGACCGAGGCAGAACGAAGATACTCGAAGACCGAACGGGTGATACTTTCACTTGTAAACGCAAAAAGAAAGTTGAGGCATTATTTCGAATCCCACCCTATAGCTGTTCTAACAACTTTTCCAATCAGAGTGCTTATGCACAAGCCAGAACTCTCGGGCAGAATGACAAAGTGGGCCATAGAGTTAAGTTCATTTGACATAACGTATGAGCCGAGAACAGCTGTCAAAGGACAAGCGGTAGCCGATTTCCTGCTAGAATGTGACTCTGAGGACACGGAAGAAGACCTTAGGTGCGGCTCTTGGAAACTTTATGTGGATGGCTCCTCTAACCAGATGGGGGCTGGAATTGGGGTTAAACTGCAAACCCCAGAGGGTACTTCTTTGAGTCAAGCACTCAGACTTGAGTTCCGAGCCACCAATAATGAAGCGGAATACGAGGCGCTGCTGAATGGGTTAAAGTTGGCCAGATAGCTACAGGTCAGAAGTTTGACTGTTTATAGTGACTCACAGTTGATTGTTCGGCAGGTAAATGGTGAGTACGCGACCAAGGATGACACGATGGAGGCATATCGTTCTGCCGTTCTGCATAAAGCCAAGGACTTTGCAAAGATTGAATTCATACAGTTACCGAGGGAACAGAACGCAGATGCGGA